CATCTTACAATGACCCTTACTCAAGACCTTTAATAAACAAAAGCATTGTTCAAAGTCTCTGTAGGTTTTGATAGTGAGAAATCTGTATGATATGTTGATTTTACAAGAAAACATAAGTTCCTGGATATGGAGGTAATTATAAACGCAGAAGGATCAAAGCTATGCATGGGGGAAATAATTCATAATTTCAAAAACAAATTCGATATTAAATCACTCCTACATGGCATCTGATTCAACCTCTGATTTTTTTGGAGGTCCATGTTTTCTCTGCTACTATTTTTTGTATTGTTTAGTTGGGAGTTTGAGCTTCAATACTGTCCATTATATCAATATATTTGTAATATTTAACTTGAGTATACCAAAAACTATGTCTAACTCAACTGGACTTTTGCGAGTAGCACTGACTTTTACAGTTGAATATTTACTTTGACATTGAAACCTGTATCATGTACGGGAGTACAGAACTGAAAATATATATGCGAAAACCTTTCCAGTGGTCAGAGATGTATGGATCAGAGTTCAGGTAATTGTCATTCTCTCCAAGGACGACTTATTTGTGCTTTAGAATTGTCCGTTATTTCCGTTTTATTAAATGTTTAAGCTAAATATGTAAATCGTAAAAGAGATCACATGCAATGTCTTAGTGTAAAAGTAAGCCAACAATTATAAAAGTAAAGGCTCCTTTCAAAAATTCACTGTAAATAGTTTTATTCCCTCAATCATAAAACTTTGGAATAGCCTTAGGGAGGATGTCAAAAACTCTCATCTCTTTCAAGTTTTAAAGCAAAGCTTAAAAGTGTGAGGGCAACTACCAGGTAATAAACGATGTGGAGACTCTTAATTTAGTTAAAGAAAGATAATACTTTTTTTCGGTTGTTGCTTGCCATCCAAATCCACATTTTAAAAATCATATTTATCTGATGTTTAATCAGATAAAAATGTAAATCTTATACTGAGGATACTGAACATTACCTGATCAAATGTCTTTACATGTAATATGGCGACGGAGTGTGGAATGAAATTTATCGGTACAAATATAAATGATATTTACAATGTTTTTTGGACTCAAAACTCTGTTAACAGGAAAACATTTATATTCCTATCATTCAAACTCCTTATTTTGTTTTTATTTATAAAATTTAAATAAAAGCGAATCTTGACTTTTTTTATCATATTCATGTGTGAGTATAATAATTTACTCTTAGACTTTCTCTTCACTTCATATACTTGACATGCATAGCCTCTGGCCGTTGCCTGATCCTTATTGCATTATTCAATAAAGTAATTTCAGCGGGCCGACTATAGTTTCCATTGCGCAATATTTTGCGCATCATACATGTAGTAAAATGAAGCGTATCTACTGTTTTAATGCAACTTTTTTCGCTTAATAATTACAATTAAGAAAAATTAAGAAATTATAGGTACAAAAATGTAATTACAATTTGATATGACTGATTTTTTAACCGATTTTGCAATTGATAGATAGGTTGACGTCGTTGCAGTGTGTTTTTGACGTTATGATAATCTGTAGCTTTTAAAGAAGGGGTAATAAAAATATTATTTAAAAACATATAATAAACATATGCTCTTGAAATTTAAAACATAGAAATTTCAGAATATCACCAATATTTTTATTATGTTTTTATGTGAATCCATTGTGTACGTCATATTTTGTAATGATACTGTATAAAAATAGTAAAATTTGCTAATGTTTTTTTGCATTTTGAGATACCCCTTCTGGTAACAAGAAGGTAGAATTTTGTGTTTCTTACATATATTGTATAATATAGTATTACTCATCAAATATTATAGTTTGAACAAAATGTCTATTGTAGTATTTGTATAATTTGCTTTAAAAAATTGGCATTTTCCTACATAATCCTATAGTAAATGTACCTGTATTTTGAGACGGTCCTTCAAAAATACCTGGACGGTAGATTTCCCCCAAACTTTGCATGTACACTGAAGTTGATGTAAGTTATATATGGCATAAAAATGAAGAGTTTCGCTATTGTAGTTTTCACACAATAAAACTATAGTCGGCCCCCTTAAAATATTTTGTTTGATATAAGCTTTAAAAAGGCGACTGATATTATAATTATGGATATGGCGATAACGAACAGTATTCAATATAAAAGTCCATTAAACAATACAAATTAGGAGCAAAGCAAACACGGACCTCCGAAACATCAGAGGAGGGATCAGGTGCCATGGAGGAGTGAGCATCCCCTGCTTGCCAGTCACACCCGTCGTGTGCACCTTGTCGTGATTGGGAAATAACGGAAAAATCCGTTGTCAATTCAGTGTATAAATAATGGACTTACAATTGATATGAAAAACGTCATTCAGCATTTGACTGAATGATAAATAGTATTTGCTGACAAGGTCATTGTATCGACCATAGAACTTACGAAACGGTGACTTTATACGAAACTGCTGATATTCCTTTTTCATCAACTTGTTTGTCAATAATTTACCTCGTTTTAGAAAGTTTTCATACGTAGAGCATGCTCTTGCGTATCGAATCAACTGAGAAATTGCTGCATAAGTAAGAGAAGTTGACCATAGAAAAGTTAAAGTTATCACGTTTATCGTAGAGCTTGGTTGTTAGATTACCATCAACGTCTTTTTCAAGTAAAATATCCAAGTATGAAACATATGTGCCAGACTCTGTGGTACCTTTTATCTCTAGCTCAAAGGATATATCGTATCAAGGTAGGAATAGAAATTACCCTTGTTAATTGACAATACGTCGTCGATATATCTAAATGTCGAGTTGATGGCAACGGCAAGTGTTCTCTTAAGTTTCTTGGAATTTTTTATATCCATATCTGATTTATACCACTTCCTGAATATATTGTTGCACAGTACTCTTGAAGTTTTCCCTTCACTACTGCTAATATCTTAGTGAGGAGTAACGAAAGAGGCTTGGTTGAACATTTACTGGAACCCGCAATTTATCTTTGTAAGGATTTTTATGAAGTTTCGGAATCCAATATATATAGGGTAGTTCAAATTCATTTTGGGTCTGTGGAAAATTAAAAATATTTAAATTGACATATGAATCTGAAGAATTTCTTCCATGAGTATAAGTAGGTTTACCACTTGTAGTATTAAAACCAAGTTCTTCTAAAATACAATTTATATAATTAGCCTTACAAACTAAGACAATGTTGTTACCTGCTTTGTCGACAGGGACCAGTACGTACTGATCATGTAATCTATCTAATTCTTTTTTCACTTCTGGATTATCAAACACAAAAGGATAAATGGTTTTCATATTGTTCCTCAATCTTTTAATACGCGACTTTAACATGGATCTGATACATTTAATCCATTCTGACAAGGTGTCTCAGTCTTCCATTTCATATCCGAATCTATAATATTTTTGAGATTACGACGCCAGTTGATGGATCGGGGTTACCTATATTTAGGACCTTTTACAATAAGTGATCTAAGGTCCTCATCATTAACTATATTTACGTCACCTGTAATTACGTGTCCAGAAGGACTATAGTTATAGTGCAAAGAAGAACATGAACATGATGGAGGATTATGTTTCAGATACTCAGTATCCAGGTCATGTAAAGGATTTTTTGTAATTAAAAAGTTTGGAAGCAATGGTCGATGTAACTGTACGAAATACAAGGCGTAATAGTAATAATAATAAGAAGAAATAACGAAAAAAAGAAATGTTCTACCCATGCAACACTCAAATAAACTAAGAATGCTTAAGAATAGAATGGGGTGGGGCTTTTTGAAAATCATTTACATCATTTGCTAATTAGGGGATAAAGAAATTCAGTCCATGTTTGCTCTGCTCCTATTTTGTATTGTTTTGTATACTTTGATATTGAATACTGTTCGTTATTTCCATATCTCTGTTATTCTAGAGAGATGAAAATGAAATTATATCATAGACTGTAGCTCCAATGGTTTGTACTAATAATAAAGGAAGAGGAAAGTAGCAGCTAGGACTTAAAACTTCACAAAAACAATAAATAGAATAATGATCCTTGATTAAGTCACTTTTTTGCAATAAGACTACAACTGTGGTAGTAGCCTTTACTAAATTTTTACAGAAATTTCAATTAATTTAACAATGGCAACATCAATCATCAAAATCAAAAACATAAAACTATTAATTAGGAATCTTAGGAGGAGTAGCTAGACAGCTAGACTGACGGACGACGGACGCATTACTATCGCATATAAGCTCTTCTGGTCTCTGACTAGTAGAGCTTAAAAAATCCCTCCTACAACGAATACATCAATATGAGACCTCGGTTTATGCAGTCTCATCCGAAGGACAGTGGATTGGAACCTACGAGGTTTTCAACTCCTTACTCAGCGACTTTTGTGTAAATCGGTCTAACCACAGTGACATAAAGAGTTGCTGAACGATTGTTCATATTCTTATAGTACTAGATGCTAACTCAGATCTAGGTCTGTATTGTTTGTGGAATTTCGCTAATTATATGTCGAACAATCTACGAACGAACACAACACTTGCTTAGGAGGCACAGAGGAGGAACAATAGACTAAAGCACAATCCAAAGTCAAGCATACCTCAGTCCTTCAACTGACAAAAAAGATGATTAACGATTAAGGAAAAACAAAATCATCCAAAAAACCCTTGGACTTGGTTAAAATGTAAGAAATATGAACATATTTAAATCATTACAGATCTAGAGTAAGCAAATATTTTTTTAAAAATATACTTGTATACTTTTTTTTAATTCTCACGTTTACAAAAGGATACTGAATTTTTGTAACACAGTCTGTTTAGGTGTGATTTCCCTGCAATCAATTGCGGTTAGTACTCTTCTAAAATATCTCTCTAATCTCCTGACAAGATAACATTCAATTCTATATTCATTTTATTAATTTATCACAACATTTTGTATTAAACTTCATAAGTGACTGTTGAGGATTAACAACATGATAAAGATATTTTGAAAATAATCTGGACAATGTTATAGCGGTAAAACATTGACTTTTCATCCCTTTATTTCAATGACTGACATTTGCACTTGGGTAGGACACGTGGTATTTTTGGGCTCCACCCTTTGCCTGCTTCTGGACCAATGAAATATACGCGATAAGGACCGCTTTACGTCTGGGATTTTAAAAGCGTACAGGAAAGGGTTGATTAGGCTGTTCAAATAAAGGGGCGTGGCCACGTACATTAGGACTTCGCCTTGTTTGTAATGGTCCTGCTCTTCTTCACTATTTCTTGTTGAGACTAAAAACACAAAGATACCTGAAAAATAATCCAAAGAGAAATCAGAATATAAAACCATCTGTGAATTGCTAAATTTCACTTTTGATTTTGGCAAAACTACATAATCCGATTTAGAGACTGGTGATAAGACTGCGGAACATTAAGTAGCAAAATTAGAAATATATGTCTCTGGAAATATGCAGCCTACGACATTTCTATTTCTTACAAAACACTTAATAAAAACAATAAAACAAGCGGGTACACTTCGATGCGGGCACCAAGAAAGCATTGGATTGAGATTCTAGCTTGAAATTTGTTTTCAATCCACCTCAGCTGCGCTAGAAGGCACATTATCACCGATTGATCCAGAAGACAAATAATTTCAATTAAATATTTTTCTGTCCGGCGTTTTAAAGAAATATATGAAGGGACAAATATTAAATTTGTTTGGTATGATTTATATAAGTGTGTGTTGGGGGAGGGGTTGGACACAGACGTCAGACACATAGATAGATAAGCACGAGATTTGCATGCATATTAGGTCTCCTTAGCTCCTTACCTATGATATCGACCTGCCTAATTTACATTCCGGTAGAGTTATCAAGAAATCAACCCCGCTAACTTTCAAAGAGTTATCAGAGAGAAGAAAAATTAGAGTTGGAAATATATGTATTATTAAGCTTCTGACGCTGAGTAACGCCAAGGATTAATATTTTCGTTTTAGTGCTCCGGGTATTAGTGTGTGTCCGTTTTGAATCTGAAAAAAATATATAACTATTTGTGATTTGTTTTTCTTTAAAATTTGCATATGTATAAATGAAACATTAACCCTCGTATTCTGCATGACTTCCAGATTTTTTCAGAAGCCAATTATTGCCTGTAAGTATGAGTTCTATCTAGGATGTTTTACTGTTTCTTTAATTCACTTACCCACTGGTACACTCGTGATGAAGTTTAATCCACATACGAGCAGAACAGCTCTAGTTGTCTTCAGAATTTGTCTATTGGATGATGCCGTTGCCTTTCCTGTGAATCCTTGCGGATGCAAATGCAGATTACCTTTAGACAAAGCTATGAATGTAATGTGTCCGTATATCAGACACTGACAAAATAGGGCAAAGGTCATAAATGTAACCAGTGTCAAAAGATATTCCTTCTTTAACACTCCGAAAAATGAACATTCATTGTATGGTATGTGATCGTGTATCCACGTCATAGATGGGACGCTCAGACAAAAGAAAAATAATATCCATAAAATACCTAGGTAGAACTTGACAAATTTCCCATTCTCTAGCCTGATGGCGTGGAAAGGCGCCATGATTTTAATGTAGCGATCCAAACTGAGGCCTAACAGCACGTGACATGACGTAAAGATGACGCTAGATATCCCTGAACTACGAAACAAGCACTCAAAAAAATTCATATGCCCGTTCATGTTGTAAATCACATTCCACAAAATTAGAATTCCGGCAAGGTTGTCGGCTATACAGAGATGAAGAATGAAATTCAAAGAATTATCCCAGTGACGCTTTTTCTTCAGAATCAAGATGGCAGCCAGCGTATTACAGAAAACCGTGCTGACACCAATGGCGGTGCATATGACGTTGATGATTATATACAACGTAGAAAAATGATTCATAATAGTAATACATACGTTGGAAATGTGAAAATCCAAATCACGTGAATTCGTCTCATTAAAATATACTTTCAGCAGAAGTTATTCTGTTGGTGAATTAATTTTTTCAGCGTAATTTCTTTTTAATCTGAAGACATCCTGGAGCAACCACATGTTGTTTATCGCCATTGTATTATTGGTATAATTAGTCCTTTGTTTAACTTGTGCAAGAGTTGTCTCAGAGATGAATGATAAATAAGTTATTGTCAATTAAGTCATTTCAATATTGGGTCTCTCGATGGACTTCATTATAGATCAATATTTCCTCAAGTTCTTTGAAATAACTGGTGCTACGCGTCATTTGCTTTCACTCTACATCTAGCCGGAAGTACATTAACTTATTAAGTACAAGGGAGAAGCCAATTTGACGAACCGGTAGTGATGTAGCTGTTTTAAAGGCAAAGATGAGCGTGGAAAATTAGATTTAAGCTTCAAAGTGTCAAATAGAAGCACTTCAAATAGAGTTATATTGATTTTGAATATAATATACATGTATTATATTTGATTGTGATGTTTAATATTGAATTTCAGGATAAATTCATAATGTTCGATAGCAGTTTTGGGATTTACTCAAACTGGACAAGTAATTATATTGATTCTTTTGTTTTAAACATATTTTATTGTACCATTAATAAAGGGATATTCACATTGTTTCCGGAGATGGGTAGAAAACAAACATGTTTCACCAAGATTCTTACCGGTATTATTTCTCCATTAACAAGCCTATTTTCCTCACCTTTGCTATTTCAGTTATCAAGTGTAGGTGATTCAAGCTGCAATTTTATTTAATATACATGTACCCGTACAATGCACAGATGCAGTAAAAATGATTATCTCAAGTCACTGTCTGGAGTCCGTACGGAAGAGAATCCATGACACCTGATCTCACCTCTGAGTTTTTGGAGGTCCGTATTTGCTCTACTCCTTTTTGTATTGTTTTATGATATCAAAGGCGTTGGAAGCAAATTGAAAGTAGGGGGCTATTTAAAGGGGGGGGGGGGGGCTAAATCACCAAAAAAAAGGCAAACCTCAATTTTAAATACTTATATGTCTATCTTTGCCAAAAAAGGTGTAACGCCCCCGTAACCCCCCCCCCCCTCGGTTCTGACGCCTATGTTTTCGGGATTTTGATCTTGAGTATACTCATAGGCGTAGTCACAGGGGGGGCAGCGGGGGCACTAGCCCCCCCACTTTTTTAAAATTGTGTTAAAAACTTTTTATTTCTGTGCCCCCCACTTTTTAATGAAGAACAAAATCACAGCTATTTTTCCCCAACACTACCTTTAGTATAGGAAAGTATAGTTATATCGAAGAATTGTGGGAGAAAATTGGAATTGAAAGTAACTTTTCTTTGAAAAAATAAATAAAATTGAAAATATTGACCCCCACACACACACACACACACACACACAACGAAATAGGATTTATAATTTGGGGGACTTTCAATTTCTCTCTTTTTTTTTTTGCTTGTCAAAGAATTTCTGTACGACACTGTCACCCCCCCCACTTTTACAGTTTGGGGAACTTTCAATTTCTCTTTTTTTTTCGAGATATACCTTTTTTTTTTTTTTTTTTGCTAATGTCGTAACAATTGTACATTAAAATAAAACTCAATACACTTTTATGTTTTAAAAAAAAATCTGATACTGTTCGTTATCTCCATATGTTTCATTGTACATTTTAATTTGGACGTAAATATCAATATTTTTTAAAATTGTGTTAAAAACTTTTTATTTAAAAAGACTTGCGTTTCTCTTTAGAACATGACCAATATCGTATGAAGTGCACAGATTTTAGATTGATCTAGTGACGCAACAATCATGTTGTTTTGGCAAAATTTGTTAAAGTCATATTTTTACTATTATATTCTGTGGCGATTCATTTGCGGTCAACAACAATAAATAATTTCTTATGATATAAAATAAATAAAATTGAAAATATTGACTGCTAATAAAATATTCATGTCATTTAATTGATTTTAACGGTAAATGTTTATAATTATCCACTGAACGCATGCCTTAACAGTAGTTAAGGTTTATGAAGATTGTACCTTATATTAGCCTTTAATCAAACTACATGCGTGTACGACACTGTCACCTTTTCTGTTGTACATTAAATAACAGATAAAAATTAATTTATCTACTTGTTTTATCGAGATATACCTGGTGACATCGATCTGCGGCTAATTCGTGAACAGGTGTGTACATTAAAATAAAACTCAATACAAAGTGATTATGCTACTTTAAAAAAAAATCAAAAGAACTTTCGTTAAAAGTTATTGATTGATAACTGTACACTTTAATTTGAAATCAGTCAAACAATAGTTATATAATAATGATTAATGACAAAAAATGTTTTCGTTTGATCCGCACCATAAAAAAAATGTTTACAAAAATGAAATATTGTGGTTGTCTTTCTTACTGTGCACACATCGAAAATGAAAGTAACATTTTTCAAGGAACAGCTTTTTTTCAGAAATGGAACATCGGGTTTTTTTTCAGTTGACAATTAGTGACATGCCTATTTAATCATGGGGGACGATGATAAATTAGAGATGGTATGTATTATTTTGTGAATTATTCACATCATCCCCCAGTTAAGATGTCAGCTTATACTGCTTGATTAAACATGTTAAATATCAGTGCACGTATTTTTTTTTTTTTTACTTCAACATGTACTAAATCTTCCTTATATGCTGATCACGGTCAAAAATTTTTTTCCCAACATTATTTTTACTATTGGAAATGTTCATTAAAAGGCTGGTTGCCCCCCCCCCCCGGTTATACTACAGGAAATTGAGATCAGGGAAATTTAGTAAAAAAAATGAGACTGTCTTTCTGACATACTTTCTATTTATATAAAAAAATTATGACTTGAAATAGGATTTCCGAGTTATGTGCCCATGGAAGGATCAGATTTCCTTTTTTTTTGCCTTTTTTTAAATTTATTTTTTTGTTGCTTGTCAACTTTTTCAGGTAAGTCAAAAAAGAATTTTTCTCTGGCTGCCCCCCCCCCCTTTCACAAAAACGATGCTACGTGGCTGGATCATGTATGTCTCAAAAAGAAAATTACATTAATAAATAAAAATTCTATACAAGAAAAATAAAACTTGGCTGTACATATAATCAATGAAAATTTTGAAGTTGTAAAAACTAGTCTTGTCTTGTATTTTTTCATGTATATACATATTGATTAATTATTCAAATTAACCTAATAATTCAGATCACCCGGGTCCGTGAGTTGTTTCACGGACGATTTAACAGAGAGGAAGTCCGACGCCTCCTTGACAACCATAACTGGAACCAAGCAGAAACTGTAGATTTTGTCTTCACAAGTCAGTGATTTAATCAAATTAACAGAAAACAAACAAAGTCAGATTGTGCATATGCATTCAATTATTTTTTTTAGTTTTTAATCACTAGAGCTGCTAACATTGTATCATTATTTTACATTTTTGTTTCAGATGAGCCTTCGGTCGTTACACAGTTAATCGCCGGGAAATCGGAGGTATCTTGAAAACTCATTAATTATACAAGTACCTTTATATATAAGAGCGGATCAAGATATATATATCTTTTAAAGAAATTCCTCGATCCCCTCGCTTATAGATCCGTGCAATGAATAAAGTATTTTGATTTTTTTAAAACAAGGCCTTGTTTTGTAAATTTATTAATTCTGAGTCGTATAAGAAATATACATTAAATGTTTATATAAGTTTAATTAAATTTTTAAAAAACCCCGTTTCTGACGATTTCAGAAAGACATCGTTGGACTTCAGGAGAGTGAGTTACTCCGCCTGAATGCAGAGAAGGGTAAAATTCCCAGTAGGCGGCGACAGTTCGCGTGTGAAGCCTGTGACAACGTATGGTGGAAGAGGGTCCCCAAACGGAAGCCGGTAAGTTTATAACCTTACCAATATCTACCTTCGAATCAATATCTAAAGAAAAGAAGCTGGTAAATATAATTAACTTTCCTTTCCATATCAGGTGTCTAAGTGTAACAAATGTCTTCGGAAGTTTGACCCAGTACCGGAAGACGAGGAATACGGATGGGCGGGTTTTACCTGTTCCTGTGGGAACGAATTTAGGTGAGATATTCTCACCTCTATATTTTTTAATAAAAAAAAATCAAAACAAACGATAAAGGATACTAAGATGCCAGATCTTTTATGTTAGAATTATGAGCCCTCAAATATGTGTCAAATTTTATAGCTTGATCAGGACTTGGGGCCATAAGACTTAGACGAGCTCACTTTCGATCTCAGTCTTACTTTTCCACTATGCATATATTCCTTTGGAAAAAGTACGATTTAGATCAAAAGTGGGCTCATCTAATTTTTATGGCCCCCAGGTCATATCCGTCAAAAACTATATTTTCTTTCAAGTGGGTACGGTCAGAAAAATGTCACCACCAGTAAATGCTACAAATGCAGTTCTATGGCTCTAGCTACCTCTGTACGGCCTCCGGAAGCTAGGAAAGACCGGAAGTCGCGAAGTCGTCATAGCTGTAGCGCACCAGACTGTACCCATCGCCAGACAGGGAGCGAACCAAGAGGTGCCGAGTATCAAAACACAGGATATAGAGGTAGGGGTGGAAGAAGCCAAAGGGGTTACGGGTACGCTAATCTTTATGCCGAGTATAATGGACAAGGATATTACAACAGTGGTGAGAGATGTGATTATTAAAAGGATTAAAAAAGTTTTATCTTAATTTTTTTTTTTTTAAATTAATTTTAAAATTTACTTGTTTTTTTTTATGGTTAAGGCCATGGGGTAGTTCTTTATGAAAGAAATGGCATGCCTGCACAACAAGAGAGTGAGTATTCGAGATGTCATATGGACATTTCAGTAAGGGGAGTCATAGAGGAATAAATTATGAATTACTACAAAACAAAGATTGAGTTATTTTGGTTTTTTTTATTTATAAAAATGTTATCAATGACTATAATGTAGGGCTTAAATAAAGTATAGACTGGTGAAGTTTAAACAGTTGAGAATCTGTTTTCCAACAGCATTGCATTTTCGGAAAGGTACTGCTCCTATCTGTCTATCAATTGTCATGGCAATACGTGTGTTTACAGTGTGAAGTAAACCCACCCGGTCCATGTTTTATTCCATTTTTTTAGGTCACAGTCCCAGCACGTGTGTCCATCCCGAGTCCCGACAGTCCAGCGGTAAAAAGCGCGTGATCGTTCCCAGCATGCCCCACCGGAGTTCCGGGTCGACCGTCGACAGTCTGATGTTAGATGACGACGAGGCGTCATCTGTGCTGTCGGGGTATCAACCCAGTGTCGACAATATCCCGGAAGTGTCGGACGAAGAAAACGAGCAAGGCGACGAGTAACGTTAATAGGATGATGATTATAGAAACTTTGCAAACAATTATATATAATTAATTAAGCCAATCATTAAGATTATCAAGATTGAGATTTTCACCGATTCGTGTTTTTCCTCGGAATTCTGGTTAATATAACTTTTGGTATAGAAATCTGAATTTATTACAAGAAAATTGGCCATAAGTCCTCAATATTATAAGCTACCACCTAACGAAACAATTTTAAAAATATATTTCTGTTAAATTTGGTTGTTGTTGTTGTTGTTGACTGGACATAATGAAGCATTCCTGGTGATGAAAAGGCAGCAAAGTCATAGGAGCAGTGTTAATACCGAATCATTCAATCCGCAGTTCCAGAGTTATCTTTCTTGTGAATAGGACCAAAAAGTGATATTCTAGAGACATGTCTGAGTTTTAATGCATCAATATGAATATCTAAGGACATGAAAATATTTAAAATTCGAAAATTCATTTGGAAATAAGCGGAAGGAACTATATTGTATTTCACTTAACTTTGCCTTTTCCATGACGAAATACCCTGTGATTTATCTTAGAAATATTTTATGTTTTATCAGATCGTCATTTTACTTCCTGTAAAAAATAAATATTTTTTCCTATACAAAACTGTGATGAAATTACAGAAACTATATTTAGACAATGAAAATGATTTTATTGCTTTTTATATGATAATTTTAATCGAAGCTAGTCATCTTATGACAATGTAATTGCTCAATCAAAATGAAATGTTTGCTTCTTATATTCATATCTAAAGGACAAATTTTGTAAAGGTTATTTTATGTCTTTTTCTGTATATAAGATTTTTCAACCCTGAGTTGTAAAATTGTGATAAAATGTATAAATGCTGTTTTTAACATAAAAATCGACTACTTAATTATGTAAATGATCAACAATGCAATAAACATTGTTTTTCATATTCATGGATTGTTAAATTTTTATTCTTTCCGGAATTTTCTCATCCTTCCAACAATTGTGGGTACATGTATATCTTGTGTTTAAAAATTTAATTTTATTAGATTTTGAACATTTGTTAAGGAAAAAATTTCCATCTACCTACCCAACTTTTTCATCCTGGGTCGGGAGGGACCAAACAATATTTTTTTTTCAATCAAAAGTCGCTAGCCTAACAAAGTTTTTTTTTCAGTCAAAGTCAGGTCAGATTCCTGTTGATTGCTTACAAAAGATGATCACCACATTATTCATTTATATAAGCATGATAAGCTAAAGAAAAGAAGGTTTCCAAACACAAAAAGAAAAAACACTGTAAATTATCACAGAATTAAAGTTAAGATATACTGAGTATATTACACATGTACTTTCAGTTTTTATTCAAGTCAGCTTGAAATATTTGTCATCATGTCATCAAACACATCAATTAATACTTCATGAACATATTTTGCTAGAGACCAAACATATTGCAGTACATCTTCAACAGAAAAAAGATTGCTAGCATTTTTTATGATGCATTCTATATTTGCTGTAGAAATTGTTTCCAAGTCTGTTACAAATGAAGATGTCGAGTTTTTAGGGATTCTAGTAATTTCAACTTATGTCTCAAAAGTTGAAATTCATCATCAGTAATGTTTCTAGTCCTACTTGTGCATTGTTCTTCAGTAACTGGATTATCTGCATTAAAAAAGACTGGATGTCTACAAGGACACTCCATTTCGCCACACTTGCATTTAGATTCGCACAAATCACAACAACAATGATCAACAACTGTTTCACATTTTTTTGTTAAATAACAATCTGCAATGATTTTCCTTCGGCAACTGTCATCAGAGATTATGAGTTTCATCATTTCATTGTCTAGTTTCTTCATCTGAGTCTTGTGACTCTTATATAAAATTAGTTCATCAGATTGTTTGCCGTCTCTACCAGCCCGCCCCATCTGCTGAACTAGGGTGTCCATATCTCTTGGAGGGGTAAAGTGTACAATGTTATGTAAATTTTTAAAATTTACACCCATTCCCGCAGAACTTGTACTCACTAGTACACGTATAATGCCATTTTCTGATTCCATATCCTTTCGAATTGTTTTTTTAACATCATCGGGAGTTTTACTGTGGTACATGTTGATCATATGATTCATATGAACAAATTCACGGACAAGGGCACTGTACACAAGAGAACATTCCTTTATTGTATTACAGAATATCAAGTGTTTTGGGAAGTCTTTACCTTTATCTTTTAAACCACTGAAAATAAATTCTAGATCATCCTCCACTTCCGAATTGTTCTTGACCTTTTTCACTGAAATTTTAATGTTGTGTCTGTCTGGACTGTCAACTATAATACAGTTATTTTTTTTAAAACAGAGATTTTTCATTATTTTACGACGGTTAGTAGGACTTGCTGTTGCTGTTAAAGTAAGCACTGAGGCCGCAGGGCAAAGAGATCTTTTCTCCAATTCTAGAGAAAGATTCAACACTTCCTCCTGGTTATGGCTCTCACCCCTATTGATCATAAGAAAAATTTAGTAAATGACTGGTAAACTAAAATACAAAAGAAATTACAATTAAAATGCAAAAATCTAATGTCAGATAGGAAAAGTGAACGTTTTATATATGACCACATATCTTTTAAAACACTGAACTCTACTGACTGTGTGCAATGCTATCATCATGATCAATTTGGATGAAACTACTGTTAAAAGTCCTTGAACAATAAAAATAATAGCACTGTTTACAATATAGTGGATCAACTTTATCTCTCACCATTGCAGAATAGTGTGTGCTTCATCCACTACTAATAGGCCAACTTTTTGGAAAATACTGGGTGACGATTTCTCTCCATTTCGTACTGTCTACAATAATTTCTGGACTCCCGTAAATGAACTGATATTTTCCACCAATAATTTCATTCAATGGCATTTTAAGACTGTCAATGTAAATGGCAGACATGCCAATCTTGTTTAATCTATCAACCTGTTCTTCCATAATGCTCTGGATTGGAGCTATCACTACGGTCACCATTTCTTTGTTCAGAACACCCATACTTTGGTAGATAATAATCTTTCCGCTACCCGTTTTCGTTCCTACGAATACGTCACGTTTGTTCATTAAAGCATCTATTGCTTCTTGTTGAAAAGCATTTAATTACCGTCTTCCTTCCAAGACGGTATGTTTCAAGTTTTTTCAACGGAGGTCTTGTATGCACTTCCTCTCTTTTGTGAAGAAATTGCATGATGAGAAAATTTTCAATTATTTCATTGGTGGAACTGTTCAAGGCGTAACTTTCTGAATCTATTTTTCAGACTTAACAATTGTGCAAGATTTCCAGTCTTAAAAAAATGACGGCAACAAAATCAGCAGTAATAATTTCGGGAAAACATGATGATTTTTATAGCAATAAATAAAATGTGTCTCTTTAATTTCATTATAAATAAAATTTGATAGTTATTGCTTGGGCTTTGCAATTTGTTATTATTGTTTTCCCGTCTGTAGAAGAGTGAATGCAATTGTCGGGTTTGCCGAAAGCTCTCAGGTCAGTCAGAGTTTACGGAGATGACCGAAAAAAAATGGTTATTGCCCGTAAAAAGCAAATGAAATACAAATTCGAAATAAAAGAATTATACGGATATAGATCTTTTGCTGTTTAAAATTGTTGCTGACGGAAGCTTTTTTGAAAAGTTTTCTTTATGTTGTTCAACATTTTCAACGGAGGTCCCATATTGTGAATGATTTTCACAAAGCATACATAAAAGCTTTCATTTCATTGGCTGTTTGTATCAACCAGGAATCGTTCAGAATAAAATGGCGCTATCTTTCCAGTGCATGTCCTGGGTTTATCGTTGTAAAACCCTTGGCTAAAATGTCAAAAGATCAAAGTTTTTTTTTCATTCAAAGGAACACAATTATACTGTAGTTTAACAAAAAGGATTGAAATAACACATACAGTAAGTATAACTATTGAAACAGTGATTTCTTTAGAAAATGCATTGATACTCTGATAAAAGACTGCTTAAATGAATTGTCTGTGAATAAAGCCAAGTCGATGTCTTTTTGTCTAATTTTGCACTGCAAGATGATGCTATAATTGTTTAGTATTTTATTATAAAAACATTGCTTTTGGAAAATCATACAGGATGAAATTTTATATGAGTGACAGATTAATATGAACCTTAGCTTTCTAGTGTGTGTGTTTAAGTTCTGGTCAGGATTTCCATCAAACAATAACTTAAAATTTAAATGCAAAAGTTAAAAAGGACAACATAGTTTAACAGAATAGTAGTTATGTTGGACTTCATACAAAAACATATATTCAAGAGCAGTTTAGTAACTACATTTTCATACAGAGAATCTATATGAATTCAAAAATAAATATTTTCTGGCGTAAATTCACAAAACATATACTACTTTTTTCATAAAGTGTACAAACTATTTGGCAATACGGATGTTGTTTGATATACCATATTTTTTTAACTCATGAATTCAACAACATAATTAAAAAGAAAAATTGTATCGGATAAAAATATCAAGCACTTAAAGGACCTTTAAAATATAACAGGGGTCATTTTTTCAAATTTGATAAAAGGCTGCATAACTTGATTTAGGGGTAGATCACTACATTCATGTATTTAAATAAAGTGTAAAAACAGAGAAATTTTTAAAAACATATCAAGTATGATGAATTATTTGTATAATACATTAGAAATTGACTCAATCATGCATAATGTTTTCAACGCTTTTCCGGAAATGACCTTTTGATTTGCTTGAACTTCACAAAAACTTGTTTAATGTTTGCGGGAATTAGATAAACAAGTCCTGGAACATGACGTCAATGTTTGAAACTAAAACTTACAGCCGATCTCATCGGCAAGTTCCGTCCCGTCTGAGGCGGGCATGTCGGTCGTGAAGCAGGTCTATTTGTTTCCGACAAGGATTCCGGAAATGTTCGTTGATATATCGGATATTTTCCACTTGTCGTTTTAATTTGATTATTTCTTCGAAATGTTTCGGTCCGTATGGAATACACAAAAACAAAACAATCCGCCCACAAAGCATAACCATCTTTCCAGTATTCCTGATCCTGTAAAAAAACAATAACATTCAACGATCAAAACGTAAATTAGGATGAAACTAATTTTATCTAAAGGTGGGGTGTTTAAGATTCATTGAAGCATCACTTTTTCGTCAGACATGGAAACTTGGACAGAGGAATGTGGGCATGAAACAGTGTTACGACACATGAAGATTTAAAATTGTTTTTAAAGGTAATGCTAATATAGAATCACCGAGCAGTTTTATCTGCAAGATGAGGGCCGACATGAATTACATATACCTGTCCTGCTGTGTCGAGGATCTCCAGTCTGACGTCATCATCGTCAACTGTCGTCTGCAACTTGTAAATACTCTCTGTAAAATACAAACATGGCATCAGAGCATCAAAAAATTAATAAAAGTACAAGCTTTAGAGAATCAAAATTCCATTCAGAAAAAAGTACATAAAAAATTTCCGTGAGATCTTTTTTTAAATCTAAAAATTCATCAATATGTAATTCCACACACACTTTCCTTCTAGCGTGTTTCCTTTAGATAAGGCTTTTTGGATTTAAGATATATGATTGCTTCAAAATGCCCTTGAAGAAAAAATATTTATTTTGATAAGAAGGTGTTTCAAATTCAAGTTTATAAAGCTAATTTTTCCTCCTACAATATGCATTTTTCTAACAATCGATTGATGGCTTTCCGGTTTTTGCTAACCGTAATTAATTCAATCTCTTAGAGAGTCTTCGTGTGTTTGCGAACCCTTAATTAGCAAGATCTCTTTTGAAATCAGAACTGACGTTCAGAAAAAAAGAACACACGCCAGCAAGTCGAACAAGAAAGAATATAAATCGTTCACTTCAACAGAATAAAATCTACACAAGATTCTTTAATCAAACTTCGTTAAATATTATACGGAAAGTACTAGTATTAGCATTTACTTGAGGTGGAACATATCGTATTCAATGTCTTTATCACAAGCGTTTATTGGGGGGACAAATGTTCCTGGATTTTGTTGATCACCATTACCCACGAATTTACATCCCCTCAAAAACGTATTTTCTCAAAGTAACTATTCATGCACTTACAAGTTGTAACTTACGAAATTTAGTATGTACATGAACCATTTAAATCACCCCTTTATGAATTACAATGCATATGTATGTTATATTTGTAGTTTGTTATATGTATCGTTTTTTTTTTCTTATTTCCTTTATCCAATATTTGTGAAATATAGAATAATCCTAGTTCTATGGCTGAGGTCATTAAGAAAATCTGAACAACTCTTTTGATATAAGAATAGAACGTACTAAGTTGATGAATCAAAAACTTTTCATTGCAAAAGTGAAACTGCTCATTTCAGTCAAAATTAATAAAGTATATCCTTGCTGAAGGATTGAGTTCACTGGGCTAAAGAAGCAAATAAGTAATTTTCAAAGATTTTAAGGCTGGTTTTCATCAAGGCAGATTGAAAGAGAAAGTAAAATAATTAATATTTGAATTTTCGTTTGAAATCTCAGAAGAAAAAAAATATTGTGGGCACAGTCATTAAAATCTGGAGAAAATAAAAAATTGAACGCAAAGACGAAAAAATCATTTAAAATTTTTTCCACCTTTTGTTGGCTCAAGTGGCTTGTATGTCCCTGTAAATAGTTTTGCCCCGTCCGTCCGTCTAGTTTTTTTTTTTTTCCTCAAAAACTTCAGTATTGCTCGTTACTTTTGATTGAACAAAGCTAGGGCTTTCATAATTCATCTGTGTATTCCAAATGACAAGTCCTCAAATATTTGATTTTAAGACCTTGACCTCAGAGTTTGACCCATTTCTGCAAGAATTTATTCAGCTTTAGCCTTGCCCATAACTTTATTTGAATACTAGTAGTTGAGCATAAAACAAGTTTATATTTACTTATCACATAAGATGAGGTCACCCGTGGGTTTCCGACGATGGTAGTTGAGACGAGTTCTTTCAAACTTTACACATGTATTCGATACTATTCATTACGACAATGTCTTTCCATAGATAGAAATACATTTGTCATTTTAATCTTGACCTTTGAGTTTGACCCATTTTTAATTACTAATTAAAAAAAAAAAAAGATTGGGACATCACGTTTGAACAGTTTGTATTAGGGCCTTTATATTCCACGAATGTATTCCTTTTGACAAGGCCTTTCTTTGTACACCAACAATTTTGACTTTGACCTTTGAGTTTGACCTACTTTTGAAAAATAAAAATATCAAATTAAGTCATACTCAGTATCTTTTTAACAGTGGGTACTAGTGCTTAAAATTATAAATTTGTTTTTCTTATGGTAAGGCCTCCCCCTCCCCGGGAACTCTTTAACTGACCTTTTGACTTTGATCTTAGGATTTGACCTACATTAATGTGGGCATGGTTGGTGTTTTGGCTTTCTTATTTCATAGGTATATGCATTGTGATATTAATTGAGACGAGTCCTATCTTTTGGTAGCAACATTTTTCATCTTTCGACCTTGGAGTTTGACTTGCATTTGAGAAACTTCAACCTTCGTCAAAACCTGCCATACGGGACCATCAGTGTTTCACAAAGACACAAACACGTAATGAAAACGTATATTGAAAAGTAAACAACTGTTTTTGCCCCCCCCCCCCCGTGGTGCCAAAATTGGCAATCAAAGTTTAAAATAGAAAAAAAAATCCCAAAAGGGTGGGGCTTTGCCTTGTTTTTAAGTCAAATGCATGACAAGTAAAGAGCTACGGGTATTAAACTTCATCGAAAATTTTATGAATGACATTTTATAGAAAATCCGAAATCAAACTGGCTATAAAATTTCTTTTGCACCAGAATATCTGATCTGTTACTTGTTCAGTGTTATGAATGTCTGATAAATATAAAAACATTGATAGATAAATATATGATATATAAACTGCTAGATGTGCGAGAAAAAATACCCTACACCTTTGATTTTATGAAATAAACACATTCTTCATTCAAAGTTCTTTAATATTTTTTCCTTTACTTCGGAGCATATCGTTATCTTGTTGATGTGTACGTACGTTTATTACGAAAAGTTCGCGAGGCAACAGACAGATTTCATATCAGAGATTCAACGTATTCATCAAAACAGACAAAAAAGTGAATACTCCTTCTCAAATGTAAAATTGCTGAAAAATATATTTATTTACAAAAACATTCCTTAAGCCATTTAGTTAACTTTTGCCTATATCAAAAGCCCCCCCAGGTCTCGATTTATTGAGACGGAAAAAAAACAGAATTTTTACAATATTTTCGCAGCATAGTTAAAGTAAACGCATTAACCTCTAACAAGTTCGAAGAAAATAATGGTGTATATCATAAATCTCAGAAAAAAAAATTGTTGTTTTAAAATTATCTTTTATCTTAATTTTTTGGAAAATCTAATAATTTCACAAACAGTTTTCTAATCTTACTAAACGCAAATTTACAAAAGGGGTGCACGAACTCAGAATTATGATAAATTGCGCTCAAATTTCTACCATTAGAAAATATATAAATCTATATATAACCCCTTCCTACTGCAGATATACATTATACTAAGTATTTTATGAATGGCGAAAAAGATATAGTTCAAGCATTATTTTACATCTTTGTAGATAATGCTTGTATCATGAAATCCTCATTGATATAACATATATTTTCTATATACATTTTCATTATTTCACAATCTAACAGAGCGCTGTATGCCTGCCCTTAAGATAAAATTTAAGGTGTAACTTTCAAAAAATCTCCACTGGGCAATTTATTGTTCTAGAAACCCCATCGTCTTGCATGTTAACATATTTTATTCGACGTATCGATTTATCAAGGCACACGATGTGTTACAACGCATTCAGATATACAACTTTATTAGCCCTTTATCGTATGAATTTACCAGTTTACCAATTTATCATATGTTAGAGCCTGTTTATCTAAGAAATAAACTCTCAATACAATAGAAATATACAGAAAAGATCTTGAAATGTATCACCTGATGTTCTTCCAGAATTTATCGCACTACAGCGACTAGAAAATGAAATACGAATTACCTGTTTATACGTATAACGGGCTTGATATTATATTTTTCCGGGGGGGGGGGGGGGGGGGGGTCTCAAAATCTCGAACAAAAAATATTTTTTCAGTATGATTTCTGACGGAGACATTGGTCATGTATGTATACTTGCATAAGTTTTTGATCAAAATAAAATATCTTTACCTAAAAAAAATTCTTCAAACCCTAAAATAAAAACCAGAATCAGGATGACGAACCCATACAAAGAAAGAAAAAAATAGGGAAAAATGTAGCCCCTTTTTATGCGATCATTCGCCTAACGTGACGTCATCACCACTGGTATCAATTTTAATCATTTCAAATGATAAACGTTTTACAATGTAGATATATAGATAAGAATCATCAAAGTTTAGGGTCATTGGCCTCAGAACCATATTCATCTGCGTTTTGTGTAAAGGTTTATGATTTATGAAACTTGCTCACATAACTTTATGAGGCACCTATAAACAAATATCCCCGTCGGTTCGTTTTTGAAGTGGGTCATGATGTCATGTGATGTAAGAGGTCATAGCATGGAATGATTCATAAGCAGATCGCTGGCCCAAAAGTCTAGTCTGTGACGTATAATTTACTCTAACTTCCTTACCCTTACGAGGGGTGATCAAAAAGTTCGTGAACTACATGTATCTCTATATCTACATAACCACCATTCAGATTAGAATGAATTGGGTACACACATAGTCATACACAAGGTCTATAAATAGCATATGCTTAATAAAGTTTTTCTCCTTGTTTGTGACGTCATAATGAAAAAATGTCGTCACTATGTAGGTCACTTGTGACGAAAAATGGTTGTCTCAGTAGAACTCGTTCAATAAACGACTGTACAATTTATTGTATATCTTAGAAATCCCTTTGCAGTATCATAAAATAATTTGTACACAGTTTATTAAGATAAATGAGTTCCTATAAATTCAATTAATGATTGGATTGATTGTTTCAGTGAAGGACGGCAGATGGTTAAAAATGGTTAAAAATGATACTTATCATTTTGCCCAGTGAAAGCAAGTTTGAAAAGATATTTAAGCAATTTGCTATCAAAGACCTCCAATTTACACTTTGAAATATAGCTGAATATTTGAGCAATAACGTAATTATTAAATACCTAAGATATCGTTTACTTAAGATTTTGAACATATTAGATATGATAAAAAGGAGGCACCCATTTTCTATCCACCTTGAATAAAGCTCTCTACCGAGACAGAAGATTTGTGTTTTAATGGTCGCCATGCATATTTTTGGAAAGGATATTCTTATCCACTCATTCTATTGCCAAGATTTGACCATTTCTGACAAATGAACTGTTCTTGTCATAAAAATTAACTCACATGAAAAGAAATATAAAACTCAGAAAAATCTTTCAACTTTCAACTTTTGTGACAGAACGCTACGGAGGGGGGTCACGTGACCGCCAATATCACGTACGTGATTCGCGCATGGTTGATTTGCATTAAAATCGGAGAGAATTAATTTAAAATATAATCAACATTAAAACCAAATATTGTTTCTTTTACGGAAGTTATTCAATTAGTTCGCGAACTTTTTGATCACCCCTCGTATAGGTTATCAGTGTTAACTTTTTACAAGAGGCCCATGGGCCACATCTCACCTGAGATGCTTTGAACATTCTGTTCTTTACCAGATTTCCCCCTTGTAATACATACCGGTATTGTGACCCCACCCTACCCAATTGATCATAATTTAAACAATTTGAAATCTACACTACCATAGGATGCTTTGATTCAACATTGTAAAACTTTGATTCCCCATTGTGGCCCCGCCCAACCCCCGGAGGTCATGATTAGAACAATTTAGAATCTACACTAACCCAGGATGCTTCCACATAAGTTTCTGCTTTTCTGGCCCAGTGGTTCTTGAGAAGAAGATTTTTCCTATATATTGCTATGTAAAACTTTGATTCCCCATTGTGGCCCCGCCCAACCCCTGGGGATCATGATTAGAACAATTTAGAATCTACACTACCCCGGGATGCTTCCACATAAGTTTCAGCTTTTCTGGCTCAGTGGTTCTTGAGTAGAAGATTTTCAAAGATTTTTCCTATATATTGCTATGTAAAACTTTGATTCCCCATTATGGCCCCACCCTATCCCCCGGGGGTCATGACTTTAACAATTTAGAATCTACACTACCCCGGGATGCTTCCACATAAGTTTCAGCTTTTCTGGCTCAGTGGTTCTTGAGTAGAAGATTTTTAAAGATTTTTCCAATATATCTTTATGTAAAACTTTGATTCCCCATTGTGGCCCCACCCAACCCCTAGGGGTCATGATTTTAAGAATTTAGAATATACACCACCCAAGGATGCTTCCATATAAGTTTCTGCTTTTCTGGCCCAGTGGTTCTTGAGAAGAAGATTTTTAAAGATTTTTCATATATATTTCTATGTAAAAATTTGATTCCCCATTGTGGCCCCATCCTATCCCCGGGGGTCATGATTTTAACAATTTAGAATCTGCACTACCTAAGGATGCTTCCACATATAAAGTTTCAGCTTTTCTGGCCCAGTGGTTCTTGAGAAGAAGATTTTTAAAGATTTTTCCTATATATTTCTATGTAAAACTTTGATTCCCCATTATGGCCCCGCCCTATCCCCGGGGGTCATGATTTTAACAATTTAGAATCTGCACTACCTAAGGATGAAACCATGTAAGTTTCAGCTTTTCTGGCCCAGTAATTCTCGAGAAGAAGTTTTTTAAAGATTTTTCCTATATATTTCTATTTAAAACTTTGATTCCCCATTGTGACCCTGCCCTATCCGCGGGGGTCATGATTTTAACAATTTAGAATTTATACTACCCCAGGATGCTTCCACATAAGTTTCAGCTTTTCTGGCCCAGTGGTTCTTGAGAAGAAGATTTTCTAATGACTCCACCCTATTTTTGTCTTTTCTTGATTATCTCCCCTTGTGAGGGGACTTCGCCCTTCATTTTCACAATTTAAATTCCCCTTTACCTAAGGATGCTTTATACCAAGTTTGGTCAAAATTGGCCCAGTGGTTCTTGAGAAGAAGTCGAAAATGTGAAAAGTTTACAGACGGACAGACAGACAGACGGACGGACGACGGACAAAATGTGATCAGAAAAGCTCACTTGAGACTTCGGCTCAGCTGAGCTAAAAAAGCTTGAAAATAAATAACATGGTGCTTATACGCTTCCGTACTGGAATACTAAGCTCGAACAATTTCTCTGGAGTTCAGGCAGTGTAGGATTTAACATCTTCTTTAATACCTAATTTTCCGGCTACTCGTAATTCTTTAACTGTCTGTCTGTTAAATTTATCGCCCCTTGGTTTGATTAATTCCTAATCACTCGGCGTCAGAGAGGATTCAAGTAGACAAGGGTTAAAACCAACTTCCTTAAATCCAAGGTAATCTTGATAATGTGTTCACAATTAATGAACAAATACACCGTCTAATTAGCTTGTAAAATTTGTAAAGTGCAGAGGAAATCGCCCGAATCCTCTCTGTTTAGAACAATAACTACAGAGGAATTCCGATCTGTATTGGTTTAGGAGCATGTTCGTGAGTTTTCCCAGCTGTATGTCAAATGTTATCAGATTGTGTTGGTTTTATCGCTACAGAAACATCTTCATCAGATAACTTTATCCCTAAAAAAGATCGGGGTCAAAATTAATTAAAACTTGTAACCGCTGACTTTTTTTGGGGGGGTGGGGTGGGGGGGGGGGGGGGGGGGGGGGGGATAAAATGGGAATGAGAAAATACTTGTATCGTTTTAGGAAGAGGTGCTGACAGGAATTAGTTGAGAGAGAGAGAGAGAGGGGGGAGAAGAAAGAAAGTGTATTCATCGTTGAATGAAGTGATGTTCACATTATTGATAACCTAGTTGTTCAACACGACAAGACAATTTTAAACCTAAAAATTTCTATTGAGACTGGATTTTTCCAATTCACTCACAAATTTAAACTTATAAATCCCTTAATTCCAGTGATGTCAGAGTCTTGTCACGTAACAACAGATTCTGTGGGTGTATTTTCACTCTGATAAGATTTTCTTCATTTTTTAATCGTCATTGATTTTAACATTTTATCACTGCAGCAAAACTGAAACGAGGCCAAGGTAAAACAAAACTGATATCGTAAAATCCAGGTTGTGACGTACGCTTATTGGCAAATCAGTGTATTAATGTTAGGATAAAAAATTTCTATTACACGCTTAAGAATCAAGCTTAAGAGCTTTTATTAATATTAAGCGCTTTGTTTTGGGAGCATTCCAGAAATATTATAACAAATATTTTCAAAAAAAGAAACAGTTAATTAGCGAAATCTGAAGTAATGATATTAAAAACTGCTGTGTTGTGTTTTATTTTAGCTCTATAGCTCTAAAAATCTGGAATTCCAGTAGAGCAGCTTTCTCATTTCACTGTTGATAATCAGATACATTATGTTAAATATTGTCTATAGAATTTCATGGTATCTCTGTTGATAGCGTCATTATCATTAATATAAGTCTAAAACATATCACAAAAAAAATAATAAAAACCCTAATAAAACCTCCCCTTTTAATGTTAATGAAAGTCATATTTGACGTTTGTAAACAGAAGCGCATCATTTTTCATTTTTCCTCAATCGGGGCGGATCCAGGAATCTTAATAATATAGGGGGGGATTAGTTGGGCTCGAGGCAAGGGGGTCGGAACAAATCCTCGAAAGCTCTCGGACTGGAGTAAGCTTATTTCTTTTATTTCAATTGCTTATGTTGCCAAAACATTTGATTAACAAACTTTCTTTTTTGGTTTTATGGTAACAGGGGGGGGGGGGGGTTGGTGGGTACCTTTCCTTAATCCGCTCAAAATCCTGGACTCCCTGTTTATGAGCGTTTGAAGTACAGTGTAATCACATATTAACGGACTTACCTAAAGTTGGACTATATTCTCCAATGAAACGTTTCGTCAAGTATCGCACCGTCAAAGCTGAAAAAAGTTGATTTTTATTTTATAACCAATTCTCTCTCTCTCACTGTCTCGCTCCATCTCTCTATCTCTCTATGCACCTTTAAATTAATCATATGGAAATCAAATGAAAAATAGTTACAAAATATTTTTAAACTTTTTTTTTTTTAATAAAGTTTAGCTCACCTGTTTTGCCGACCCCCGGGCATCCCAGGACCACGATCTTACACACGCTGTTGTCATTGATTGACTGACCTCGACCCCTGACCCCGTTTGACCCCGCTCCTCTGTAGTTCATCACAACGACATTCACGCCGTGCACTGTCATTTAGATCCGCCTCCTTGTTTCCCAAATGTCACAATTTTTAAGCCAAAAAAAATCACAAGTTTTTTTGTTTTTTTTTTATCTTTGTACAGAATAATTTATATAGGATAAAGTTTGGACGACACTTTTAATCCATCGATATTGATGAAACTCCTTATGAATATGTTAGAACTGAATTATTTCGTAGAATATCCATAGGAAAAAATCAAAATGTCTCATGGAATATTTCTTGCCGACTATTTTTCTGAGTTTGCGGTTTGCCCTCACACAAAAAGCAGTGGCCGTGTGCCTTTTGTATACCGTGGAGATCCAAACTATATGCCTCATACGTCACGGAGAAACAAACCGTTTGTCTCAACTGTCAAAAGCAGTTTTGTCTTCTGAGACTTCTCTGAATTTCCTCCTCCGCTCTTCAAATTTAATAAAATTCGGAAATTTAAAAAGGGTATATATGCATATTTTAATTTACTTCTGACGAAATCATGTACGTAGATCCACACCTTTTGTTTCGTTAAAAAAAATGAATAATTGTGTAATTCGCTGTGGGATTTCAAATTATTAAACATAAATATTTTTGAAAAACAGCTCAATAAACAAAAAAATTATAAACTTCCATAATCCTTCGTAAATGATTAATGCATAAAGAAACGCATTTTTTTTTCTTTATCTCGAGGTATCAAAAAAAAAATAAATAAACAATATTCACCATGCAGTACCTTCTGACCCTAAGGATCCGTGAAACAGACTGATTATATAGAGTGGAAATTACCAAACTTCTGTTACCATTTCAAATTAACCCTGGCCCGTGTGCACCGTAGCCGTTAACTACCGGTTTCTGAAGAGAGATCAAATGTTTATAAGATAATTCTCAGCCTTTAACAAAACCCCCGCTGGTTTCTGCCTCCTACATCATTCTCACCAAAACCGACAAATTTTAAAGACGTTCTTTATTTCGCCATTAAACAGTTAAAGAATGTTTACATTTTGAAATTAGTTTTGTAAATCTAAATTCGCATATCCAATTTAACTTTAAAAGAGAAGTAATTTATCGCTAGGAATCTATACAATATATTTAGTGTCTAACTTATGTAGGTGTTTATAAAGGAAAAGTGATTGATGAACAGTTCTGATCTACAAACAAAGAATTGGATATCTACAGAACTTAAAAACAGGAAATTTCGTAACATGGGCACTTAACTCAGTAACTGAAATCGCTGATTAAAAATTTATCCTTAAATCAACACTTATTAAAAGGTAATGAGTAATGAGTCCCTAAAAATGCCATTTTAACACAAGACTGGGGTCTACACATAAAAATATATATATGTAAGAATTGTCAAATTTCCAATTTTTCAAAAAAATTAAAATTCTACTCACGGGGCATGATAGGCCGCGCTCTATACATCGTCATGTAAGTTTCCCTCATTCATAAATCTCTTTATCCCTCTCCGCTAACTGATAAGAGCATTTTTTTTTTAATGTTTTCCCTCAACGGAATTTGAAGTGAAATCTTTTTAAAACCAGGTTCTAAAATATTTTATCTTTAGAACCTCTGTAACGATTGCCCCTCAGCGCGGGGTTAATTCCTTTGGAAGACCGGGCTCGTTTTATCATTTTTCGGTCGCTATTTTAGAGTTTTACTTACTTTAAAGATAATTGTTTATTGAATGGCCCCGGATTTCCGATAAGTCTGTGGTGTAAATGATCAATCCGTCAACTGAGTTACCAGAGACCTTTAATGACCGGCTTTCTTTGAAGTGTGTATCTATATGTTAAATCAATCAGCAGGGATTCTTAGCCCGAGGTTATCTTTAACACTCCCCATTCCTTTTCTTAGTTTTCTTAGTTACATGTACAAAACCCCCTTTTTCGTAATCAAAGTGTATGAATTAACCTTTAATGAATGGATTCTCCCCCTTTTTTTGCTTACTTTTTTCATGTAAGTTGAAAGCTGAAGAGCTACGTACCTGCGTTCAAATATAAATTAACCCCTGAGCTTTCTGTTACCTTTTATTTCGTTTTTGGATTCTGGAGACATTTTAGGGGTTTATTCTGGGCCTATTTTGAAACCGGAGGAACCTAGGGTCGTGAGTCCGGCGCCCTGAATTTAAGAGGGTACAAACATATTTTCTTGACAGGGTGTTGTGGTGCATTATATATATTTGGTTGATATCGTACAGATTCAACTTTAACTGTTACTTCAGAAAATTCTCTGCGAATCACACACATGACATTAACCAGACTGATCGTTATAGATACATATTCATTTGCACTTTGAAAAACTTGATGCTCTCGGGGGATTTCAAGTACAAGTATTAGTCCGAAGTATCTGACGTTTTCCTGACGTGCCATGAAAATATCTAAATCGTTAAAAAAGCCTGGAAATCATCAGATACATATATTTCGGACTAGTACAAGTACATGCATTTAAAGAGATTTTCTTTTTCCTTGTTCATCGTTCATTGAAAAGATACAGGATGAGAAAAGCACAGAATTAGAATTTTACTTTTGGAGTCTTTGACACGTTATGGGCGCCTTAGTAGGGGGTGGGGGGGGGGGGGGGATGAGGGGTTGTTGTCGACACTTTTTTGACTGGCATTAATATTACCTGACTCATAATATAACCCAGTCTGATTTACCGCTAAGAAGATTATGACATTATGAACGTGCTAAGACTCAGGAGTTTGATTAATATTAATCTATAATTATCTATTGAAATAAGTACTATTACTGATATTAATATTTCAATAAACGGAGAGTGCTTTTGACTAACTTCTTTAATTACCTATGCATCCGTGAAATGTAGAAGATCAAATGTAACAGACGGCTGTATGCCTTCCTAACCTCGACTCATCAAGTGAACGATACCAGTGCACACAAATCACAAGGATTATCTCCCCTGGGTCTCTAAGCCCTCATTATTTTTATATCATCATTAGTGAGTTCCTTTTCGTGTGAATGACCTCAACATTCACCTGTGCACTCTTTGTGTATCATCCATCCGCAGAACAAAGAAGTTCGAATGAGTTCTTCGTTTGAAGAGGGTGATAAATCGTAATATCGCTACCTATACGTGTAAGCACATCTGGTACATGTGGCAAAATTAATTAAACTTAGCAAGGAGCGGATCTTACAATTTAAAATTGATACATCCCAAAGAATAAAAAAAATAGGAAAATAGATTTAATAAAACAAGAGTATATTTCAACAATTATAAACAAATAAATATCTAAGAATATATAAGAATTAATGAATGGTTCGTAATTTGTCAGCAGTTGGTGCACTTTTTTCCATGTTTCAGGAAAGTCCTCGGGAAGGGAATAGGAAATATGGATGAGTCGCCATTTCCGCTTCCGGACGGAATGTCGGATCCCGACCAGTGGCGTTTCTGGGGCATTTTATACCGTCTCCCAGGAACGTCCAACAGATGAGAGGAGTACATGTGGTTCACTTCCGTTATTTCCTCCGACACACGTTTCACTTTTGTAGGCAAGACACAGGGGTCTTCATAAGCCCACGGATGTTTATATGCCTGCAGTTTTGTCGAGAATTCCATTTTAATGTCTTTGGTAAGCTTTCTGTCGGTCCTGTCCTTTATGGAGCTGGACAGTTTCGCTCGTTTTATTGGAGTAGCGTCATCTTCACTGTCCGCGAGAGAGAATCCAGTGGAGGAAATCACACGCTTCGCTCTCCGTCTGATCTCCATATATTTCTCTTTGATTTCATTGTCCTGCAATTATAAAATATGTTCATAAAATTTAAAGAAAATATTTATATATACTGATTGATTAAAGAGTTTTAAAGAGGAGCGTTGGGGTTGGGGCCCAAAGCCACACCAAAACACGATTTATTAATATTAATGTTGGATACATGTACAAAAGAGGGTCTTTCCCCATAAATCCGCCCGTGAATTTATAAGCAAAAATAAACAGTGTCCCAATAAAGAATATTGTAATTGTCAGCGATAATTTTGTAAAAATCTTTTGAAGGTATTAAAATAACAAACGGAATCAGGACAACTCGCCCCCAAGACAAGTCGCCCCAACACTTCTTAAGACAACTCGCCCCCAATTTAGGACAACTCGCCCCCACTCAAGACAACTCACCCCACTATTTATTTTCTTGTGAACTCCAAGGAAAAAAATACCTGTCATTCAATTATGTATATTTTATATGCAAATTTAAATCATAAACAATACTTATAGTTATAATAGCTAGGTTATTTATTTTTGTCCAGCATTCTAGCAAACATGATACGGAATAGGACGCCATTGATTTACATGTATTTGTTGTACATGTACACCCGTCCTACACATCGACGGGATAAGGGAGAAAACCGCTAGATTTTTTCACACTTATGCAGAAATATGACGTTTTTAAGAACAGCCGAGACGTTCCTCAATAATATATATTTTTTCTCAAATTTTGTCATTGAAGCATTTCTACTTTAACGTTTACTCACCAAAAAAAAAAAAAAAATGTGATACCTTACCAGGCATTTGTGCGAGATACCAGAGGACGACATTTCTTATAAAATCCTTTAAGAAAAAAAAATAGTTTGCCAAAATAACATTTTTTGTGTTTAAAAATTTTAAAAACAATTAGAAACCGGTTTAGAAATTATAATTTTGTAATTATAGTTTTGTATATTTTTCTTACATTATGAAGATATAAATAAATAGGTTTATTCAGGATACAACTTTGGGCAATATAATAGCCCATCAGTTTACAAAATGACAAATATGACATACAACATATAATAATAATACAACATACAAAAAATAAACCAAAGCCCCATCCCTCTCTTTTCATCTCTTTCAAATGTAGACTTTCCCTTTAAATACTGACCTTCTTTCTGAGTGACTCTGTCTTCCTCTTTAGTCGGTGTAACTGGCTGCTCCACACCTTCATCTGAATCGTCTCTGACCGTTTCGGGGGGCTCCTCCTTCTGGGGGTCACTTCCGGTTGAATCAGGCCGGATTTCCTCTTCGTCGGGCTCAACTTTTTCCTCGGAGTCGGAGAGTTTCTCCACAAAACCACGGCAGATTTTCGTGGACTTTGTTGATATATTTCACAATATGAAGAAGAAATGGTCGTGTTATTCCTCTCTTTTTGCCTCTCCATGTTTCTGGCCTGTGGACTTGCAGACATGTGCGACATGGTCTGTCGTAAGTAATGAAGGGGGAGCTGGCGGTGTGACACGCTGAATTTTAGCATTTTACTGGCAGATTTTTCCAAACAGAAGTGACAATGTCCAAGGGATTTATATAGACCGCTAGGAAAAACACAAGCCTAATCTCGTATCATTGTTGTTAAAAGTTAATTGGTCGGCATGGCGTAATTAAGTCATTGAAGAATAATTAACCTCTAGCGTGAAGTCCTAGATAATTAATACTGAGTACTCAACAGATTGTTTAGTTAATTACTGCTCTCCAAAGCCAAGCAGACTTATGATTATTAGAAGGCGTCGTTAAAGTCGCAATTGAAGTTAATTTCGTACTAAGATCAATTGAAGTTGTGAAAACATAATATTCACTGTTTATGCCCTAAATATTTTACTACATGTATCTTCACAGTAACTCAATATAAGTCTTGAATTTCATCATTATCAAACTTTATTATCTTAATGTATAAATTTCTTTCTGATTAAAAATACCTTTTTGAATACAATGGCAACACAGTTATAAATGTAACTATTATGTCTAAAACGTAATTAATGTAAAATATGTTATACATTTATTTCCACTATGAAGGTATATACTTACTATAATGTTATTAACTAATTATATATATGACATTACTACATTTTTGTATTTTTATGCGCCCGGATCGATAGATCCCGGGCGTATATTATTTCTGTCCTGTCTGTTTGTCTGTTGTCAACTTTAACCTTCGCCATAACTTTTGAACAATAATAGATAGGGACTTCATATTTGGTATGCATTCTCCACTAATAAAGTCCTTTCAATTGACATCAGGGTCAATAACCTTGTGACCTTGACTGTGACCTAAATGCTAAAAATAGCTTTTTCCACTGTTTGTCATAACTTTTTAACCATAGGAGATAGGGACTTCATATTCACAGGCACCTGAAGTATGGATAATACCCCCCTTTTTTATGAAAAAAAAAATGTAAGAGTGTATATTATCTCAAAAATATAAAAATTTCCCCGTCAAACACATCTATATGTGAAAATTAGCGACATCAATCAACCAAACTTGTAAGAGATTTATTAGGACCCGACACTCCAAACCACACTTTAAGTAGATATGTTTTTTGCAGAGAGCAGATTAATATCTGATTTGAATTATGCAAGTAGTTGTAGAGTGTTTCGGCTATTAAGAAGCCTCATCAGGGGTCACGGACATAAATCATGGTGTTTGTTTTAGGTGAGACCGGATTATCTCGTCACCTATATTCTTGTGTTTGCTGTAAGCAATGATTGGTTGAGAATTAAATAAAGTTTTGCATTCTGGATTTCTAAGAATGGTGTTCCAATATTTTAGAATTCGTTTTTTCAGTCCTTTAACGCAAGGGTTAAATTTAGTAACCAGTACTGTAGGGTTACGTAATGACTGTTCTTTAGACTTTTTGATGATGAGTTTTGATCGGTTTGTGTTGACCGTTTCCTTGATAATAGGATCAATTTCCGAAGTAGAGTAGCCTCGCTTTGATAAGTGCGTCTTGAAGTCATTAAGTGTTGCATGTAATATTTCAGGGTCAGTGGTGTTTCTTGCATGTCTAATGCATTCTCCTTTAATGAATCCCTTAAACACAGCTGGGCTATGAGCGCTCTGTCTGTGTAGGTACTAAAAGTTATTTGTTGGTTTGATAAACGACTTGATATCAAGTTTGTTAAAATTTTGAAATTTCTGTCCTTTATAAACTGTAGTATCAAGGAAGTTGACAGCAGATGGAGAAATTTCAAATGTAAATCTAAGATGCTTGTGACAGTGATTGCCGATATTAAAGAATTCTTCTATCTCTGGTTGCGTTCCATTGAATATTATGAAACCGTCATCACGGTATCTGCCGTGGAAGACAATTTTGCTGGCATGACGAAATTGTGCCATTATATGCTTTGTGATTTGATACATTCTGATGTCACAGATCTCTGGACTGGGGACTGCCCCCATACTTGCTCCTATTATTTGTTTGTAATATTTTCCGTCGAATTCAAAGTAATTGTTTTCCAAGACGCATTTCAGTAAGAAGTTTAGATCCTCAGGGTCCGGATATGGAATGTCTAATTGCGTTTTATTGGCCTGTGTGTAAGCCTCATTTACTGATGAGAGAAGTTCGTTGAATTCCATGTTTGTGTACATGCTCGTCACATCATAAGTAATTAATAATGCGTTTGTTGACAATGTCAGGCCTTCGATTTTGGTGATAAAGTCCGTAGTGTCTTTGATATAAGTTGATTGTTTTTGTACAATGGGTACAAGAAAGTAATCGCAATATTGTCCTATTTTCCTCGTTGGCGTATCGCATTGCGAGATAATTGGTCTACCAGGTGGTAATTTCCTAATGCTGCACTGACCGTTTATTAGAGCATTGTAAATGTTTGCTGGTATTTTGTGGGTTTTCGGTAAAAGGTATAAATGCCCACATTTGAGTGAAGGTTTTTTGTCATTAAGAAATTTGTAAGTTTCTTTGTCCAGTGACCCATTTGAATGCATTTCGGCAAGTTTATTTTGAATGTTTTCATGCAGTTTGAGCATGTTGGGTTCAGATACTTGCATATAGTGTTTAGATTGCAGTTGGCTTTGTGCTTCTAAGACATACTGGTCTTTGTTCATGATGACAATTGTGTTGCTTTTATCTGCTTTTTTAATAATAACAATGTCGTTGTTATTTTTAACCGTGTAATAAAAATACACGTGTATTTTTATTATACCGAATAAGGCCATTCTTTAAACGTGAGAAAAAGTATAATCTGCTTGCATATAACGACATATAGATGTGTTTGACGGGGAAATTATATATTTTTGAGATATTATACACTCTTACATTTTTTTCATAAAAGGGGGGGGGGTATTATCCATACTTCAGGTGCCTGTGTTCATATTCGGTATGCATACTCCACTAATAAAGTCCTTTCAAACGACGACAAGGTCAATGATCTTGTGACCTTGACTGTGACCTATATGCTAAAAATAGCTTTTTCCACTGTTTTTCATAACTTTTTAACCATAGGAGATAGGGACTTCATATTTGGTATGCATACTCCACTAATAAAGTCCTTTCAAACGACGACAAGGTCAATGATCTTGTGACCTTGACTGTGACCTATATGCTAAAAATAGCATTTTACACTTTTTGCCATAACTTTTGAACCACAGGAGATAGGGACTTCATATTTGGGATGCATACTCCACCGATTAAGTTCTTTCAAATGACACCATGGTCAATGACCTTGTGACCTTGATTGTGACCAATATGCTAAAAATAGATTTTTTGAACTT